ATTGTAATACTTAATGAAACTGAGAACTTACCTGTCTGAATTTAATACATAATATTTGCTACAACTGAAGTAATATTAAATGGTGGTGGTGATCAAAAAAACTAAACTGATTTTAATTTTGAAAAGTCCCTGAAATACTCTCACATCATTTCTATATCAAATTATTTTTGCTTTTTTCTTTATTTTTCAATTATTATTATTTTATTGAGATACAACACTTGTACACACTTATGGGCACAGTAAATTAATTTAATAGCTGCATACAATGTGTAATGATCAAATTAAAATAATAAGTGTTTCCATCTCAGATATTCATCATTTCTGTGTTGAAAACTCCTGTAGTCTTCTCTTGTTGTTACTTTGAAATATGTCAGAGACCATTCAAGTTCTTATAGAAGATACTGTAAGTTCTACACTATTGCAATTCTTTCATTTAATCAGTTCTTGCAAACAGTGTGTAAAATTGGCTCCCTATTTCTTTTATTATAGCTGGATCCTGATTATTAAGTTCATTGCTTATAATTTAAAATTCTGCAGCATGCTTTATTTTTTAAATTTGCAAGGGCAAGATCTTGACCAAAGGAAAAACATGCTGGCAAAACAACTGGATTTGGCCACTTGGTGAGTCCCTTAGCCTGCCTGTCACTGGTGAAGCATATGGTGAGGCCACGTGGAACAAGCAGTGTCAGCCCCACTTGGAGCTCTGCTGAGGTACACATGCTGCAAAGTGGATTCGGAAAGACAGATGCTGGTTTCTCTCTCCCATGACAATTGTGGCTTGGGCCTGGCCTGCTGCCCTTAACCTTGAATCCCTGCTATCTCTGGGTCTAATGCAGCTACTCGAAATCTGCTCCTCCCCCTGGAAGAGGGAAAATGCCAGAGTTTGCCAAGAACACCAGAGGGAGTCTGAAGCAGTGGGAAACAATCTTGAATGAATAGCAATACCGCATGAGAGGCTGGCCCATTTTTCTCTCACCCTCCACCCTTGCAAATGTCAGCAGCTGGTCTGAGGCATAGCCAGCAGGTTTTATGCATGCTTCAGACCTTGTCCAGGCCAGGCCTTTCAGTGCGCCCTGTGCAATCTTCCAAGTCCTTTCCCCTCTAACACTGCATAACACCGAATATTTCAAAAGCCCTGGAACAAGTGAGTTGTGTGATATGTGCATTATCTATCAATGAAGCTGTTAGAAGGGGAGAGAAGGAGGAGACTGAGGAAAGAGAGAGGAAGAGGAAGGGGGAGGAGGATGTACATTTCTGAATCAGAGGTATTTTTAGTTCACTTTATTCCCTAGTGCCTTCAAAAAACAACCTGAATGCCTGACACAAAGATCTGATTTAAATAAATAAAACGTGCTGCTGAGTGCAAAATGACCTAATCCCTTTATTGGCTGATTTTGATTATCTTTCTGCAGAGCACATTTGCCTGCTCCACCTTCTGACTCACCTGCCCTCCTCTCAGACCCTGCTCCTCCCACAGCCCAGCCCTGTACCCACATCATGCTGCTCCTACACAGTGTCACTCCCTGAGGCACCTGAACACAAAGCTTTCATACTGAGAGAACATATGCTTTCCATCAGAAACTGGAGCACAAAAAAAAAGGAAGCCATGAGGCAGAACTGCGTAGCCTGTGCACCAGCTCAGGAGGGAAGAGACCAGAGAGATAGCCTGTTCTCTGGATGGGGATGGAAACCAATGCACATACCAGGAGTGACAATAGGCATAGTGCTGCAGACCAGGACTACCTGAGGCAGGACCTAGTGCAAGAGAGAAGGGACAAAGGGACATCTCCCACACAGGGGCTACAGGGGAGAGCTTGTCCCTAGAGAGGCAGGACTGAGAGGCTGTGCATGGAGAATGTTGTGAGCTTTTTCTGTAGAACTTGAGGAGAAAAAAACACCAAGCCCTACTCATTAGTGGAGCAAAACCAGTGTGGAAAAGCCCCCTGGGGTTCATAACACAACCCTGCTCTACCCGGGTTGGGCTGCTGGAGACCTGGGACAGTAGTGAGTGCACTGATGCACATTTTCCTGCAGGAGGCGCCAAGAGCCACAGCTCTACATTAAGTGAAAGAGGCTGAGGGATTTGGGGTTTTTTCTTCATTCGTTCACTATGCAGTAGGCATGTACCTTTTTTGTTTTGTTTATTCTATTTTTCTTCCTCTTCCTCCCCCCTCCTCCTCTTCCTCTTCTTTATAATCGAAGTGAAATTTACATAGCACAAAATTAACCATTTTCAAAACTAGACCATTCATTGGCTTAAGATATTCAGCAGTGCTTTGCAACTACCAGTTCTACTGATTTCACTTATGTCCAGCACCTACAATGGATCTGACAAATCATTACCAGCTGTATCTGCATGCCTACTTCCCCCTCTGCATCTCCAGTTGCTGACACCATGTCTCTTGTTCTCCCCTCCCTCTCCCTCTTTCTCTCTCTCCACCTCTCCTGATTATTCCCTACAGGTGGAATCCTGCAGCATGTGGCCTTTGTGCATTGTCTCCTTGCCTTTGGACTTTAGACATCACACCTGAAGTAGATGGGGTTGACTTGTGACCAGGCTGGTGGCTAGGGATCCTCATGAGCTCTGCAAGATGAGGACCACCTGGCCCAAGTGACCCATGTACCACCTGGGACCCCACGTGTCCTTCAGCTACCTTTGTAATGCATGTGGAAGGATTGCCAGCTTCTCTCCATGCTTTTATTACAATTCACAACTTTCTTTTATTACAACTTTCTCTGCTAATCTTATGAGCTTTCTGTATTTTTTAAATTTAAATTTACTTTTTAACGGGTTCATAGAATTACAGAACACATATTTATGTGATGCTTTGATCCATGTATACATTGTGTTAAATTTAAATAAGGGTACACATGCCTATTTTCTCAAATATTTACCATATCTTTTCATCTAGCTTCTGGAGACACACAGTACAAAATCTCAGCTGATGTGGACACACTGTGCAATAGCATACCACAATTTCTTGCTCCTATCTAACTGTAACTTTGTGATCTTCAGGCAGCTTTTCCCCAGCTCTTCCTCTGACTCTCTTCAGCCTCTGGTGAATCATTATTCTCTTGATTTCCATGAGATCAACTTTTGGATCTCATGTGTAAGATCATACATTACTTGTCCTGCAGTGCCTCATCTATTTCACTTAACAATCTCTGGCTCCATCCATGTTGTTGTAAATGGCAGGACTTAATTCTTTTCATGGCTGAGTGGTACTCTATTGCATGTAGGTGCCACAGTTTCTTCATCCACTCCTCTGTTGCTGGACACTCAGGTTGCTCCCATTTGTTGACAACTGCAAACAGTGCTGCAGCAAACATAGGAGTGCAGATGTTTCTTGATATACTGATTGCATTTCCTTTGGAGTTTTCAGTGGAATACTCCAGTGGGATGGCTGGACCATACAGTCATTCCACTTTTAGCTTTTGAGGAGTCTCCTATTGTTTTCCATAGTGGCAAAGAGGAACTCTCTCCAGACTGAGTCCTCCTTCCTGACTCATAAGGACAAATGGGTTGAGTTTTAGATAACACTGTTGCATGGTTAAAGCAATTCACAGGGTATTATAAATGAGCAGGCATAATACTTGTGTCTACATATAAAATAGGGAAATTTGCTTGCCAAAAAGACGAATGCACACAAGAGCAAGTTGGAGTCCTCAGAACCTGTCTGCTGAGTTAAATCAAACACTGCAACCTTAGAAAAGTACCATGTAGCTTTTCTCTGTAGCTCTTCTCCCACCAAAACCCTTCAGGAACACATCCAGGCTTTGAGTGAGTCAGGAGGAAGCATAAGAATGAACATGAGTGCCTTTCTCAAGGCTGAAGATTCTAAGTGCAGCCCCATTCAGATTCCAGGGGGAACAGACTCCCAGGACTCCACAGTCATGGGCACAGAGAAGGGATGAGCAACAGGATGGCCTGAATATCGAGACAGATACCTTCAGGGTCAGTGGAGAATTCAACCACTTTCAACATGATCATGACAACTTTCCTACTTGGCCCATCTGAAAGTCTCTCCGTGACCAAATAACCATATCTGAATGCCCCACGTTCTACACTTGGCTGGGATCCCAGTACTGGCAACCCATGTCCCCACCTTGGGGCTCCTGGACAGCGTGGCACTGGCCTTGCAGGCTATCCTGCCATAGGCCCTGGCACTTGGGCTTTGTGCCTTCCCTTATCTCCTGCTACCAGCAAGTTTATCCTCCCCAACAGTACTGTTGGGCACACCCTTTCAGGGTGGTTTTTTTTTTCTTTTGCAAATGCCAAAATCATAGTTGGTTATTTGTAGAAGAGTAACAGGAGGATTTTACAGAAGCTGGAGTGCAATCTGCCTGAAATTTTCAGGAAACTAAATTGATTCCCTCAAAGTCACCATTGTCTTCCTGGGAAGCTGGAAGCCAGACTCAGAGGTAAGTGAGCACTCATCAAGTCTCAGCTTTCTTTACTGTCTCCCTATGCCAAGGCTTAGAGAGGCCCCTCCTTGGGCTTTCCTCGAAGCTCCCCTGGCTAGCAGCCCTGTTTCCAAAACATTCTCTTCAAGCCAACTTTATAATGATGACCACAAAAAATGACCAGGTGTAGTGGCATGACCATCCCTGCTGAGGGAGAGATCTATGTCCTCCACCCCAAGTTGTAAATTTACTTTCAGGGAAGCAGGAAAAAGGGACATTGAGGGAATCTGATATCATTCTGACCTCAGAGTAGCTTGATCTGAGTTTGGGTTTTCCCTATTAACACTTTGGGGTTCCCTGGGGCTAAAGGCTGGGCAAAAAACTGTCATGAGTCATCTCTGGGGTTGCTGTCACCCATGAGTAAGCAGGAGGGCACAGCATAGGAGCGAGGCGTTTTCAAAATTAATAGCTTTGGGTGGTGAGGGAGCAACCATTCTCTTCCAAGGCAGTTTTTCCTTAATTTCTACCACACTCAAGGTGGCTTCTGCCCCACCTGTCTCATATCCATCTACCCTGTGTATTTGTCTCCATCTGGGATGCCAAGGACACAGGGTGGAGCAAACTCTCTGTGCAGCAGCCTCACTGTCCTCCTCTTCCTGGAGCTGCTGCCTGTGGGGAACGGTAGGGAGGCCCCCCCGTGCAGCCCTCGAGGTCACTGGTCCCCATGCTCTAAACTTGTGGCCCTAAGGGTACCTGAGTCCCTGCACCCCAAACTTGCAGCCCTAGAAGTTCTGGGGTTCCCGCTCCCCAACCTGAGGACTTAGAAGTCCCAGGATCCCTGCCCCACCCTGCGCATCTAGGGGTCCTCGGCCCTCTGGACCAGAATGCTAGGCCTAAGCAGTCCCTCTGGGTCTCACCCGACCATCAGGGAAGGCGGACTTCCAGGTGCTGCGGCCCCAGGACCCTGCGCTGGCTGTGGTGGGCGAGCAAGCGGAGCTGCGCTGCTGGCTGTCTCCTAACATCAGCGCGCACAGCATGGAGCTGCGCTGGTTCTGAGCAGCTGTCGCCCGCGGTGCATGTGCACCGCCCCGGGCTGGATGAGCTAGAGGAACAGATGGCAGAGTACCGCAATAGGACGAGCTTCGTGGACCTCAACTTGGCTGGGTGCCAGGCCGCTGTGCGCACCCACCGGGTCACGTTGTCAGACAACGGCAGCTACCACTGCCTCTTCATGGAGGACACGGCTCACGACAGCACCACCCTGTGGCTGCAAGTGGCAGGTGAGGGCAGTCCCAGGATTTCTGGTCTACCCAGGCCTACCTGGAGGAGCTTCTAATGTGACAGTTCCCTTACCAGGCCACAGGAGCTGACACATGCCCTGTGCATTGCTGGTCTCAGAATGCAGTTCTGAATGCAGTGCACTGGAAAGAGGAGGGCAGAAAGAGATACAGAGAGACAGAGCAACAGTGAGAGGTTGACAGACAGATGGAGGGAGAGACAGAGACAGAGAGAATGAGATAAAGTGAGCAAGAGACGTAGAAACCAAGAAAGCAGGAGAACAGAAATAGAGCAAGAGGGAGGGAGGGAGAGAGAAGAGGGAGAAGAAAGAAGAGGTACAGAAGAAAGAAGAGCAAGTGGAGAGAGGGAGTGGGACTGAGACAGGCAGAGGTGGAGAGGTTTTTGTTGTTGCTTTGAAGGACTAGGGGTGTGGGGGACAGTTTTCCAAGGTGATTTAGAACTCTTCTTTGGGTCAGACCAACCAAAGTCCTTCCTTTCCCCACACTCACTAATTATGTGACATAGTAAACTCAGTTAATCTTCTGAAACCTTTTCTGTTTCATTTTGTCCCATTTTATCTAGGAAAAGAGAATACTGTATTAGGGCAGATAGTTTGTGAAAATTTCCTAGTCATTACCAAACACCTTTGAGACTTTTTTGTTGTTGTTATGGAAGCAGCTGCCTCTACAAAGACTCAAGTTGATACTTCTTCCTTCAGGGCTAGGCTCCAGTCCCAGAATCCAAGTGATCCACACCCAGAACCGAGGTGTCTGGGCAGAGTATGCCTCTGAAGGCTGGTACCCAGAGCCCTGGGTGGAGTGGAGAAACCAAAGAGGACAGATGGTGCATGCTGAAACTAACTTTTCAGTCTTGGCCACCACTGGCCTCTTGGCTGTGGTGTCTAGGGTGGCCCTCCTGGACAGGGCTGTGGAGGGCCTGTCTTGCTCCATCACCAGCCCCCTCCTCCCTGAGAGGAAGGTGGCTGAGAGCCATCTGCCTGGTGAGTATCCTGTTCAGTTCTGTTCATGAATCACTGAGTACAGGTGCCCATGGACATGAGGACATGAAGAGATAGCTGTGGGGCTTGAGCAAGAGGAGAGGGGTGGCTGGTCTCTGTCCACAGCCTGGCCAGGGACCCTGGAAAGACACAAGTCTGAGTGGTGGTCACTGAGATGGGGCAGAGATGAAGTTGCCAGGAGTAACCCCTGAGGGGCCTTGCATTTCAGAGGGGACAAAAAAGGTACACCCCTTTATTGTTTTATGAGGTTTTTGTCATTTACAAAACATTTTACAGCAGTTTTAGCTCACAAAAAAATTTGAGCAGAAAATACATAGCTTTTCCATATACCACTAACCCCACACATGTAGAAGTTCTACCAGTATAAAAATCCTACGTTCATGCCTGTTTGTACCTCCCTCCCTCCCTCCTTCTCACTCCTGGAAACCACCACTGCTGTCCTCACAGTTTTGCCTTTGCCAAAATGTCATAAAGTTAGGGTCACACAAGATATAACCTCTTCAGACTGGTTTTTTTCACTTTGTACTACGTATTTAAGGTTCTTCCATGTTTTTCCTGGTGTGTAAATCATTTCTTTTGAGGGCTAATAATACTCCACTGTCTTGACAAACCACTTTCCTACTGAGGGGCTTATTTAACTCTTCATTATATGTTTTATTTTAAAAAAACTTACAGATAACTGGCAAGAACAATGGAGAACTCTGTATCCTTTACCCAGATTCACTGCATTTTTAACATTTTGCCATAGGTGTTTTGATCATTCTCTCTTTTTGCTTATCTACAAGTAGACAGATATCTAATACCTATCTCCTGTGCACACGAAGTCAGGGTATCTGTTGTGGCCACTCATATGGGTGGTGACTGGAGTCCACCCTGGCCTCAGTGGTTCATGAACAATAGAAATGTGCTGCTCATAGTACTGGAGGCTGAATATGCAAGGTCACGGTGTGGCAAATTTTTTGTCTGGTGAGGGCAGCTTCTTAGTTCACAGGTGGCTCTTCTGGCTGTATCCTCATATGTGGAGAGGCGAGGTGGAGGACTGAGTCTCTTTTATAAGGGTCCTAATCCCATTCATGAGGCTGGTCCTCATGACCTCTTGGTCTCTCAAAGGCCCCACCTCCTAACACCATCATGGGGGGTCAACATAGGAAATTAGGGGACACAAATGTGCAGTCCCTTGCATCATATATACAAATACATGCATTTTCCTGAATGCTTTCAGAATGGTCTGTAACATCAAGCCCCTCAACCCATGAACCCTGTAGCATGCGTATTCTGAGAACAAAAATACTGTCTTCCTTGTTGATCTTGACCCCTTGGAATCCCCCAGCATGCCTCTCCAGAGAATCTCAGTTTACAAAATGGACACTAGCCCTGCCTGTCTCCCTCCTTGCCATGGGACTAGTGATGGCTGGAGTCATCTGCCTCTTTGGAAAATGTCAAAGGAATGCACATAGGACACAACTGAGGCAAGAGACAGAGAGAAGAGGAGAGGAGCAGAGCCAGCAATCCAGCATGGGGAGAGCAGTGACACTCCATGGTAAGTAGGGGGCTCTACCCTATCAGACCATGGACCTTCATGCCAAGCCCTGAGCCAAGGCTTCACCTGTTTCTTCAAACCTAGCAGGCATGGAAAAGCCAGTAGGGTTTCTAGATCTAGAACAGCCTGATTACAACCCACCAGTGAAAACCCTTATCTCTGAGAGCTCCATTAGTTGGCTATTCTTCACTGGATAATCCAGACAGGTTGTATGCCTTACTCTTGGAAATGAACAAATCTGAGCATAAACCCTGTACTACTTATTTTCCTGTTACTGTAACAAAATTCCTAAGGCAAGTAACTTTATGAAGAGAAGAAGTTTTCTTTAGTTCCTGGTTCTAGAGGCTGAAAGTACAAGAGCAGATGGTCCCATCAGTTTGTCATGTGCTTGTGCATTGAATCTATTGTTGTGAGTGACATCATAGCAGAAGTGTGTACAAGAGATCACGTATCAAGACAAAAAGAAAGAGGAGCTGAGGGGTCAGGCTCACTGTTCCTAACAACTCACTCTCCTGTTGGTTAATGAGGGTCCCGAGAAAGCAACACTAATCTCTGGGGTGATATCCATTACCAAATTGCCTTGCCGCAGCCCTCCTCTTGAATGTTTCACTGCCTTGCAGCATCCCACTCTAAGGACCAGACTCCCAACATATGAACCTTGGGGGACACTCGATCCACATCCAGACCTCAGCAAAGCCAAGTCTGAAGGGTGCTGGCTGTGAGGTCTGGGTATGAACTCCAAGTGTCTGTCTTCTGGGGTTGATGCTCCCATCCTAGGGCTGCAGTAATTCCAGCACAGTAATATCCATGCCAGAATCAGGTGCACCAGAGAGTTTGCTGCAGTGATCAGTATGGTTATCATCAATGTTGGTTGTTTCTCCCTTCATCACTCCACTTATGTCTTGGTGTCACCTCAGGAACTGGCGACCTGTCCCAAGGTTTTGGCTCCTAGGTAGGAAGTAGAGCTTGCCCTCAACTGGGCAGAAAAGGTATGTCATGACACTCAGGAAGGAAGGCAGGGACCAGTGGATTCTGGTATAGCAGCTGTTCTTGGAATGAGACTTCCTCTCTAGTTGTTTTATGGGACTTCTGAGAACATAGATTTGATCTTATTTTCCATAGAAACTCCAAGGAGAGCTCATTACATACTCATTTGACTTAAGCTTCCAGAATATGAGCTTTGCACCCCTCCCAACCTCCCCACCAGCCCACTTTTTTTTTTTTTTTTTTTTTTT